GTCGGAGGTTAAATATTGGCGCGGAGAACATACTGCGGGACCATGCTGGGCTTAATGATAACATTACACTGTGGGGGTCTTGTTACTGTAAATTTTATTTGACAGATCGCTGGCCTTTGGTGCAGGGGTTTTCACGAAGCACCCAATTGTAAGATTTGCTGGTGTGCGTACTGCAAGCCACCCTTCAAGCTTCAGGCCTCAGGTCCTTCGTTCCCTTGACGGGCAACGAAATTCCCTCCACCCACTATTTTGATTCACATCTACTTAGCTGAGTCCTAACAAAATGCGTAGCCCTCATAGGCAGTCAGCACCGCGGTCAGAGTACAGAATATTGAGTACTCCTGTTTCTCCTTTTGCGCGAGCTTGCAGGCAGCCTGAGCTGGGCCAAGCGGGACATACTAGTGACATAGTTATGTGAGTTTACAGTTCGCGAAGTTGAACACATTGTGTGTGACGGACCATTTACAGTTATTCCCAACCACCGTGCTTGTCGCATTCTCTACATCGTAGACATATTTCAAGCTGCCTTTTCGGCCCCTCCCGCATGTCCCTTTGCTCTTCTTCTTCACCTTCAATGGCTTCGGTCGTAGCCCCGTTTGAGACCCAAGAACCGTGCGTCCTGAATTTGCCCCACTACGCTTCCATTTCCCAGGTTTGCTGCCCGCAACCCCTTAGCGTTCTGTCCAGCGAGTTGCCGCAAGTGGCTCACATCCACCTGCACAACATTCCTCGCAGAATCCAGTAATCACATATTTCCAGCGGTCGAAGACCGCATAGCCTCCACGCTAGAAAATATCTTCCATTCTCCGCACACGGAGAAAGAGTGCGATCGCAATCTTCCTTATCGTCTTCGCTGCCAGTGGCGTCTCGACTGGTGATTTGGAAATTCAAACAATCGCCACTTCCCTCCACCTGCCTCGCGATGGGCCACATCCCCAGCGCTGAGACCAACAGGCGCGAGGACGGTCTTGAACCTCAGGCTACTGCAGACCTGGTAGAAAGCTAAACCACGTTCTCACCACGATCTACACCGAATGTTCTTGGTACTTCGACATCTGACCCCCGCACGATTAAAATACGTCCTGGAAGGAGGCCTGGAGTGTAGATGCGGCGACTTAGCACAAGTCTGTTACGTCAGTCATCGTACAGGCTTCCCTTCATTGCTCGTGCCATCGCGTACTCGTGTGGAGACATCTCTGTCAACTCCTTCGCCCCTGGACTGGCAATTCGGCGAAGGCCGTACAAGGAAGCCGAGACCAAGTAATGACGATTTCATTGCTTCAATGATTGTTGACGCCGTTGGCTCCTCGCAAGTGCAGCCTGAGACCGCCTGGATTCCACGGGTGCACTCTGGGTTAATATAACCCCCGTGCTTTCCGCTGTCGACAGAAAGAGGCGCGGGGTTAGATGCACCTGTGCCATGGATCAGGGCACATAAAAAGGACCACGTACACGCTGCGCATAACTCAGAGCCCTGCTATAGCATACCTAGTGCCACCCATGTCTCGCCCTGATCTCTTCCGTGCTGGTAACACCACGTCTGCGCGTTTCGACAACGTGCGCCCCCAAGACATACCCGTAGTCAATGGCATGGTCAAGCCAGGTCAGCTGTGTCATCTTCCAGTCAGAGTGGGAAACTCGCCTCGCTGAACGATGTTCATCCACCAGGCACGGGTGGCATGTCTACTTTCACCATGAAGCAATCAGTCTGGGCCGACAACAAAACATGGGTCGTGAAGAAATCCTCGTCTTTAGGGAACAACCTCACCGCTAAAAACGACCACGGCGACCACTGGCTCATCGCCCCGTCCTCCCAGATGACAATCGAGACATACAAGAGCGCCCTCTCCTCCCTCAACCGCATCGCTATCCGTTACGACGAACTCACCCCCCTCTGAGGCCGCCGTCGCGGAAGCGACCGCTTCGTCGCACGCCGTGCTAGCCAAGCAGTCAGCGCACATGGACCGGGCGACTCGATTTGTCTTTAACGCTCTCGCATCGGTCGTCCACGACCGCCTTCCCGTCGCCAGCTGGGACGAGAACGACTACGCGTACGTCGCGGAGCTCGCCAAGGAGCTCGAGGACGGCACCCTGCCTCTCTCGCAGCTCGTCTGGAAGGAAGGTGGCGTGGCGGGAGAGGGGTGGTCGAGGGAGGGTGTGTTCGTCGCCAGCGCTGTGTCCGCGTCGATGGAGGCGACGTCGCTGAGAGTTGCGGGTAACGACGACGACGAGGCGGACGCGGCCAACGACCACGCGTACCTGCGGGAGGTGCTGAAGCTGGAGCAGCCGGGGAACTTGTTCGTTGCCGCCAACCAGACGTCGGCTGAGTAGGTTCGGGGGGAACGGAATAGGGATCGCGTGTGTGAAACGCCTCGTACAATGGTCTCGGGAGAAGCGATGTGACTAGTGTTGTCAGAACGGCCCATACCGCCCTGATCCTGTTTAGCTGCTACGGTTATCGATACTTACATACATACGGGAAGAAGAGCCAAAGTGTTCAAAGGTACCCACTTGAGCTAAAGAGATCCGTCATCTTGACGAGAGAAATACTTTCGGGGCAAACCGAAGATTATGCATCGATTTTGTATCGTCGACTATCTTCATATTTTGGCGGGTCCAATGAGCACAATCATAAAAGTATCGGTAGAAAACACACCGAGTTCCGAGCCCATTTTGATTCAATGCAACAACTTATTTGTCGTAGGATTGCAGAGGCTCCCGATGTCCGTAGACTTGTACTATCAAGTGTTCGAGGATGAGGATTCAGCCATCGCACGATTCGCAAGCAAGATTCAAGCAGGGTCTGGTGATTAAGAGAACCGACAGGAAGCAAGGTGACTATTATATGTCCACCGTCGGACTGAACTGCCGACGATAGACATACGACGCGTCTCAAGTCAGTGACGTGAGCGAATTCCAAGTTATTGCCTTTTCTGGATATTGGTCCAACTCAAGCGCGTCTTTGTGAACTTGACCTATTTTAGCTGGAGGTTCCCAGCATACGGCGCGTCACGACAGTTCTCTCCCGGAACTCACTAGATGCAGGCAACTGTAATATTTGCAGCAGAATGTCGAATTGTATGGGTGTGTGAGAGGCTGATCATGATCAACGAGCGCGGTCGCTGCCATCGCAGGGGAACCCGGATTCCCAACTGGATGATTATAGGAGACAAGTGAATTCAAAGTGAATTTGACCTGAAATCCAACCTCAAGCCAACATGCAAAGGGAGTTTCTGGACCGGAACGTCCTTAGTATTGACTGTGAACGTTCGTCGTTTTGGTCAGAAATGAGAAGAGCAATGCTTTCCTTGTTTTCATCCATGCCAGTTCGTTTCGAAATTTCATTGTCCTCCAGCAGTGAGCATTTCGTTGTGGGTCCACCATATGAGCAAGACCTGCAATTGGTCGGCAGATACAAGACCCGTAAGTCCTTGCTCGCGTTGTTATGCAGTGAAGTTCAAGTTGTTGCAGCCGACGTCGTGTTCGACGTCCAGAGAAATTGCAATTATGCCGAAAGCGAAAGCGAAGAGCCAATGATTTGAGAAATTGAGGATTCGTTGTGGGCGACCATATGCAGAATGGCAGACGATCTGATATAAGTGTGTGAACGGCAGTCGTAGCGAGAAATGAGGCGTTGTGTGCGGTTGTTTTGGACTCACAAAGAGTGGTTGAACACTCCAAGGAACACTTTCTTTCTCTCACACCTTGTTCTCTCGTTCGCGATCCTTTCAGCCTCTTGCATTTGCTGCCTTTCTCTCTCTCTCTTTCACGCCGCCCAAGACAATGACGACCAGCTACAGCACTTTCTACACCTCGGGTTTACACGCCCACGCCTCTGCAGTCTACTCGTCTTGCAACCACCCCCGTCGACGAGGACATAGACCATGAGAATGCCCCTCATTACTCCACAGGCGACCTTGTATACTTCCCTCCTGCCATCTCCACTCGGCCTCAGAGTCCCCGCTCCCCCACCCGCAAGCGCCGCTCCAGTCTCACCTCCGCTGTGTCCCCAATCAGCTCCGTAAAGCTCGCCAAGTCTCCTGCCCGCGCCGCAGGCAATGCATGGCACATCGCCAACGTCGCGGCCAACTCCCCTCGTTCTCGCAGCGGCAGTCTGAACCATGCTAGCGAGGACAACAGCATACTTGGTCGCATGCGGAGTGGTAGCCTCGGAAACCGGTTCGTCTCGTTTTCTTCTTCTTATTTCGTGCTCTGCTTGACGAACAATGTGCTTTCATTCAGCCTTCGCGGTCGTAGACCCCTGACGAATCAACGCCCCGTAGCTCTGCTCTTCGCACCTACCCCTCCCGCACCCACCGTCCCCCTTCCCGCCTTGCCGCTGTGCGCCCCTGCCCGGCCTCCCCTCTCGCGTTTAGAAATCCAGCCCGCCCTCGCCCCTGCGCTGCCCATCGCAGATGTATTTTACGCCAAATCTCCTGTATCGTCGCCCGTTCCCTCGTCGCCGGGCTCCGAGTTCTACCACGCTCCCGGCGTCTGGAAGGGGTTCAGCAGCATTGACGAGGAGGATATGAAGGAGAATTGACGACGATGAAGAAGACGACGAATTTTTTTGGCGAGCAGAACGATGTTGTTGTATTATTTGATGGAGTGCTTCATCCTTGGTCCATCTTTTTTTGCCCTTGTAATTCTTCTTGCCGCCGTGGCTCGACTCCACAGGCGCCTCCGCGTACATCCCACTCCTTAATTATATGGCTCGAAGCCAGCTCCCTGTGTACCTGATCATCCTGCGCATATGTAGATGAGTTGCAATAATATTTCTTGTAAATGTGACTCGTCGGGTGTAATGAGTCAACGAAATGCGAGACAATCATATCGCCCCCTTGAAGCCGCGTTGGGAGGGATCTCTGCGGCATATCAGCGTGCGCAAGACCGAAACGACGCGCCAGTGTCGCGTCGGGTTGGTCTCGTGATCGTGTCTTCCCTACATAGGAGACTATTAAGGGTCTACTCGATATATATTATGAGCGACCAGTCCTCAAGGCCGTCTAGCTCAGTTGGTTAGAGCGTCGTGCTAATATGGGATATAGAATTTGTCCTGTTACGCGAAGGTCTTGGGTTCGACCCCCACGATGGCCATATACGGAGCACATCATTTTTTGTTTTCCCCACCATCAGAATGATTCTGTTTTCGCAGTCTAATCGTCTTCGTCCCGTTGGTTTAGAGGTGCGCGAGGTAGCCAAGAAACGAGCCGCGGCCGGCTCGGAGTGGATAGAAGGACGACGCGAAGCGCCGTATTGGCGAATACAGGACAGTACTTAAGTATTTACTTATACGAGAAAAAACTATATGTAGTAAGGTGTGGGCATTGTAAATGGGTGGGTGCTTGAAAGGATATACGACGCTAACAACACGAAGAGAGGTGTTAGAGGGATAGAATGAGTGAATAAGTAAATGCTAACCTGGCGGGACGAAGAGAGAAACTGGGTCTCATCTTGTCCCGCCGGGCTAAGTAATGTAAAACTGAGACAGTCCTAACAAGACTGTATTGACGGCTGATCCCTACTTACGGCCACGGAGGCGAGGGTCAGAAACAGTGTCTCAGAGACAAAGCGGTACTTACCCGTACGACAATAACTACTTCCGGCCCGGGGGGCGAGTTATTGTCGCGTATCCCTCTTACGACCTAAGAGGTGGGGATACAGGGTGAGTTTTGGAAGTGAGGGTGGTGTATGGGACTTGCCTTGACGATTAGACTCGAGTAAATAAATATTTAAACCCGACTAATCGTCTTCGTCCCGTTGGTTTAGAGGTGCGCGAGGTAGCCAAGAAACGAGCCGCGGCCGGCTCGGAGTGGATAGAAGGACGACGCGAAGCGCCGTATTGGCTAAGAAGGGTAATTGGATGTTGAGAGAATGAGATATAGATGGAAGGTGGTCCGTGTCGTCAGCGCCGAGCGTGGATCATGGCTTGTAAGAGGGCAGGATGCTTCCGGATGTAAATCTGGAAAGTATTTGAAGCCCACCGCCCCGCCGCTTGAATGATGTGCGGAGCAGCACCGTCTTCTGCGAGAGCTGTCGCGCCGCCTGCACGCATTGACTGACCAGCGATCTGGTTGTCGGGAAAGAGGTGGCGAAGCTTCTTCATAAACCAGGCGCGTGTCGGGACTGTACCGTTGCTGCGGAGCCACAGGTAGGGATTCAAAGGGTGTAAGTGGTCTCGTGAGGTGAGATACACCGGGAAAAAGCGATGGGCATCGGTGTCGGTGATCATGATATGATTCCCTTCAAACGTTGAGTCGGCCTTGTGTGCGGGCAACCAGAATTCGTATATTGCGGGCGAGGGAAAGGCGACAGAGGAACGAAGGCAGTACTTCCGGGGGTTTCTGAGTTTGGGATTGTCAGGAGCAGTCAGCTCGCCGAGACGCATGAGTGCGCGGAAGCCGGTGAGGAGTTGGGTGAGGAAGAGGAGGTCATCGTGGGAAGGGGAGGGAGGTAGGGCGGTGATGGCTTCCCGTAAATTTTCGCGCGACAGCGGAGATTTGCGACGTACGGCAGTGCCTCGCAATCGTTTGCAGCCTTGGAGTGTGCGTGCAACAAGCATGCTTTTTCTGATCTCGCGGACGTTTGGGAAATGTGGTTCGAGTTCATTGCAGATGCCAGAGAGGTATGAGTCAACCGATCGCGGGTTGATGTGGTGCGACATGAAGACTACGAAGAAACTCAAGGTATCTGGGGTGGGTTGGATGGGGAAGTCGTGTAGACGGCAGAATTCAATGTATGAGTTGAAAGCAGAGCCGTAAGTTTGTGCAGAGGACGAGTCAATAGCGGCACCGAGGGCAATGTTGCGCTTATGCACCAATTGCTCCATAGTCCAGGCTTGCCGCCGAGGTTGCCTGGACGGAACTCGTGATTGGATCATAATAACGCAGCCCCCAGCGGCTCTCGAGGGGGTTCAAAGGTGTGAATGACAAGACCATGCGCAACTTCAACCGCATTGGAGAACCAAGAGCGGGAAATTGCGTCAGCCACAATGTTTTCATGTCCTGGGACGTGCAGGACACGGAGATCGACCCTATGGATCAAAAGATCGTCGACAGCGGTGCGCAGGAGCAAGTTGTACTCGGGGCTGGCGCTCAGAGAATTAAATATGTCGACAGTATTTTGGTTATCGGTGAAGATCGTTAACCGGCGTTTCCGCGCGGAAGGCTGCACGTTGACCAGATTACAATACCACCTCAAGGCCGACACTACGCACAATGCCTCGAAGAAGAATATGGTGTCTTTCGGCGGTTGTAGAGGAACGGGCGCATAGAAGTCTAGCAGAAGCTCAGGATCCCAGAAACCCATTCCCCCCAGCGAAGCATCGCAGTAGATCGTTGTATCGGCATCCACACGGGGATTCCAATCTAATGCCTCAAAGAGTAACACACCGTCAGATCGTCTGAGGTGGTGCAGAAACCAACGCAAGTCTGACTTCATTGCCGCGTTGATATATATGAGGGCACGTTGATTGGATTTTCCTGACATCTTCTCGTAGACGTTCGAGAGAGCTGGTCTGAGGAGGAAAAACATATTGAATGACCAGTTGATCCATCCAGTCAGGCATTGGAACTCGTGTAGCGTGCGGCGTCGGGATGGAGTGTCGATGAATTGTTGGACCCAGCTCTCAAGATCTGCCTTATAATCCGAGGGAAGAGTCGCTGTCATCGCGTTGGGGTCGATCTCAAAGCCGATGATGGGAAGGGATGCGCCGTAGAGTTGTTTCTTCTCTTTGTGGGGAATACCGAGGAAGTCCCAAAGTAGGAGGAGTTTCACTTGTTTCGCCGGCATTTTCTTGTTGTATGGGCGGTAGAATAAAAGATTAGATTCCAGTTCCCAACCATAGTTGTCGTCGACATAGGCGAAGATGTCCTCGAGGCATTTGACAAACAAGGCGATCCAAATCACCAACCCCATCAACGACGCCCAAATACGTGGCGAGCCACAGTTTCCGAACGTACAGCACCAGTCAACGTTGCGCTGCACAGGGCCGCTGGATGTCCCCGACTGGACTTCAGCTCGAGTTGGTAAGTTCGAGGTGGCTACTTGTTTGATTTGCATCAACGGGTGAACAGGGAGTAGACGGAAGGCTTCAGACACGTCCGATTTCCAGACGACAAGACGCGCATTGGGATGCTCTCGACGAAACCTTAACAGAGCAGGGATGAACTGCTGCATAGTGTCCATTCTTGCACCCTTCGTCTTGGGCTTGTCGACCATTGTGTTCGGCGCGAAGGGACCACAGCTCCGGTGCGATACCAGCCTGAGGTCGGTGGAGTGCGGTTTCGGGACGGCGAGGATGGGAGTGGAGTACATGCCGGGAAGGAGGTCTGGTCCAAAGGTGCGAGAAAAACGACCCTTCTCGACTTCGACGTCTCGCTGAGCATTTATAAAGTCCCTCTCCCTATCACCGGCAGGTGGCGCCCAAGAGTTGTCCCACGTAGGGGGATAGGCAGCATGGTTCGTGTCCATCCACGGCCAAAATCCTTCTCGCAACCCACGCAACACGGATCGGACGAAGGCTTGATTCGGATGGAGTCTCAGAAGGCTCTCGAGACGCTCAACTCGAATCACAATTGGGACATGGAAGAGGTCGGGATTGTCGCGGATGGTGCACAGGGCAAGCTCATTCTCGAACTCGTGCGGTGCAGGCTGAGGCAAAGGTTCGTCTATCTCGGTGTATCGGGCGGTGCGACTATAATTTAAGATTTGTTCGTCGTTCCAGCCCATGCCGCGCATGTATTTGGGAAGGAACGACGTGCCCACGGAGTATTCCAAGAACTCCTCATCTTCGTCCTCGAACCACGCCGCAGTTTGGTGAACACCCCGTTCCAGCATCGTCGGCAGCCTAGCAGAAAGCTCAGGCATTGCGACGTTGCTTGTCAGGGCAGTCCACGGCTGCGTGACCGGCGCTGTTGCACTCACTGCAGGCATGGCGGTAATTGCAGTCCGCTCCCGCCTTACACCGGTTGTTATTGAAGTTGCGGCAAATCTCTGCCGTGCGTCTTCGTTGCTTGCTCGCAGGTTTAGGTTTGTTACTGACGCTCGGGGAAGAATTGGCAACGACGGCGACACCTCCTTCCGAGAGGTGTGCGTCTGAGACATGGCGGAACTTGTGGGTCTCGTTGAAAAGCACGTCGCGCCGCTGTCCGATGAAGACACGTGCAGCCCGGTCGTAATTGATGATACGACCGTGGAACGAGGGGTGCCGACTGAGGAAGAGGTCGTTGATGTGGGTCCAGTAGGCACGCAGCTCCATGGAGCGTCCGGGGAAAGCGAAATTGACTGCGTCTTCCCAGGTGCGGAATGCGTTGATCCATTGGCCGTGACTAACGACTTTCGTGACCACTTTAGGTTTCTTGACTTCCAGAAAGGAGTCACCGACGACGAGCTGCTGCGTGTCTTCCGTGTCGGCGGTTGCGAACACGTTGGATAAGATGACATCAAAGTCGACGAAACGGTCGAGGAGCACGGACTTCCAGAGGGACTCGGGCAATGCAGGCGCTCCAGCAGAGTTGGTGAGGTCCCGGACGGCCTCTTTAACGTCTTGTGAGTAGACCTCGATCCGCTGAAGAACTTCCTTGTGCTCAGGCGTGATAGCAATGGAATCGAGGAACTGTTGGGCTTCGGAGTGCCACGCAAACTTGGGGAGTGCCACGCAAACTTGGAAGGGTCAACCTTGGAATTCTTTCGGCCTCCACGCTCTTCGTCACCGTAGTCGTTGTCGCCAGCTGGTCGTTTAGGTCGTCCGCCCGACCCGTCGTCGACTTCATCATCGCCGGGTGGATCACCGCTCCCGCCAGGGCCCCGAAGCGCATTTGCGGCGTCGTGGGCATCAAGTTGATCAAGGTACGGGATGATGAGCTCAGGCTTGTACGAGATGCTGAGTTTTCCGCAGGCAGAGACGAGATGGGCCGAAAGCGACGCAATAGCGAGGGTGCGGGTGACGGAGCCGTCAACATACTGTTTAACCATTTCCTGGAGCGCCGCGACGTCTTCCGCTCGGAATTCGGGGGGAGGTGCGACACCATCGGTCATAGTCAAAGTGAGATGCAGATGGAATATATATATTCAGGGTGCTTGAAAGGATATACGAC